TAATAATAAAAAAGCGGTCTGTTCAACTTGCCTTTGATTGCGTCATGAAAAGGTGCATCTTCCTTTAGCCAATCATCGCGACTAGAAATAGTGACGTTTTCCGAAAACACACACTTGCAGTTGTCTGATTGGTTCACGGATTCCGTCCAGCTGGACTGCGGAAATGCACGTGGGTTCTAGTTGTTTCTTTCTGGAAGGTGCTGACGTTAAACTCAGCATGTTAACAGCTTAAACAAAACATATTTTGATATTTTTACCGTAGAACGGGCAAATCCGGAATGAGTTAATTTAGTAACCTTATATCGCCAAAGTGAATGGATTTTACTTTCAGCTGGTCTCCTGGGCATGGATGACGTGTGATTGTTTATCAGATTATTTTTCATGATTTATTTGCGCGCATATCGCGATTTTCTTTTGTACAAGATAATGCTGACCAGACGTATAATGCAAAAGAAGTGGAGACTTGGATTGTCAACTGCCCTCTGGCTTGTCAGTGTTCATCTCATATGTGCCCACAATGAGAAGGTGGGGTCTGCTGTTGCACATCGTAGTATTTCTTTTATTGTTACACTTTAATAACAGTATCATTTTTGGCTACTCAGTCACCAACAGCCCTGTCTATCAAAGAAGACTCTGATGATCATAGCAAGGGTGAAGAGACACTATTAGAGGATGAGGATTCTGAAGACTTAGAGGTGTTTAGACCTACAGACAAGTGGCAGACTCTCAAACCAGGTGTGTTTATTCCCATGCTGACTGTTGTGTCCTTAAATAAACCGATGATTAACAGATCAATTCCTTATTTGTCTGTAATTCAATATAGGTCAAGCAGTTCCAGCAGGCTCTCATGTCAGGTTGAATCTTCAGACGGGCCAAAGAGAGGTCAAGATGGGAGAGGAAGAAGGTCTCAAATACGGGAGAGATGGAAATAGGTATAGCGATAGAAGAATGTAGTAATCTAAAATATATGTATCACATAGGTTGTTATGCATAATTTTCCTCTGTGGAGCAGGCTAGGGATGATGAACATGCACAGCCCGTCATTCACAGCTGAGGAGTTGAAAGAGTCTTTGAAAAAGTTTAAAGAAGGAATGGATGATCCTGTGGACTCAAAACAAGTATGTTCATTTCAGTTTATCACTAGCCACTTTCCTTTGTTATTTGAGTTTTTTTAATCAAGATGTTTGATTATAGGATGAGAATGCAGTGAGGGCTCAATTTCGCCCCATCGAAGAGCTGAAAAAAGACATGGAGGCACTCGACATGCTTGTGGAAACAGATGTTCAAGTTATGAGGAGGCTTTTAAACCAATTTAATAATACCAACGGCACAACTGAGGAAAAAATCACAGCTCTTCTTGACTTGGAGTACCTTGTGCACCAGGTCAAGCCTCAGTTATGATTATGAAACCAAATGTCTTTGAAATACAGTTCACTGTTTCTCAAAGTCATTGAATCCCTTTTATAGGTAGATAATGCCCAGAATTTGGTGTCCATGGGAGGAATGCAACTGGTTATAAATGTTTTAAACAGTACAGACATTCGTCTCCAAGAGAGTGCTGCGTTTGTGCTTGGATCTGCTGTTTCAAGGTAAGTGGCACTTTCCTCAAAACTGCTGCTTACACATGATTTAAAGTGTGGTCACATTTACTGATAAGTTCATTTTTGTGGGCAAAGTCCAGTGATTTCATTAGAAATCCATGCAATCAGGAGGGATTTCGCCAGGCAAATTTGTCAACAGGTCTGATTTGGTCAAGCAGATTCTGTGAAATTTTGCGAAACGTGAATGCACATTTACATTGTCGCAATCCATTGTCATCTACATTTTTCTAGTAATCCATCAGTGCAAGTTGAGGCAATAGAAGGCGGCGCGTTACAGAAACTGTTGACATTGCTTGCCACTCAGCGACCAATAACAGTAAAGAAAAAGGTATGACCAACCAGAAACCATGGGCATTATGCTGTTAATATGGGTAGTCAATTGTTATTATTTATTAATGTAGATGAATGCATCATTAACTTTTGATTCTGATTTAACACAGGTGTTATTTGCTGTGGCCTCACTTCTGCGTCACTTCCCATTTGCACAAAGTCACTTTTTGAAACTTGGTGGTGTGCAGGTGCTTAGCGAACTGTTTCAAACACCAGGGACGGAACCTCTGCGTGTTAGAATCATCACGGTTCTCTATGATATGATCATTGAGAAGGTTAATATTTGTTTATAAGCTTAAACCTTGCTACACTACCATTCAGAACAGCAGAACTGTTTTTAACATTGGTAATAACAATAATAATAACAATAAAAAATATTGAGCAGCAAATCTGAGGGATCATGTGACACTGAAAACTGGAGTAATGGCTGCTGAAAATTC